CCTTTTGAAGACGGAGTCTCACTCTGTCAACCCAGGCTGGAGTGCAGTGGTGCGGATCTCGGATCACTGCAAGCTTCCGCCTCGTTCGGGTTCACGCCATTCTCCCCGCGCTCAGCCTGGAACTACAGAGCGCCCCGCCACCACCTCGGCTAATTTTTTTCGTATTTTTAGTAGGAGACGGGGTTTCACCCCCGTGTTACGCCAGGTGGTCTCAATGTCCCTGACATTGTGATCTGCCCACCTCGGACCTCCCCAAAGTGCCTGGGGATTACAGGCATGACCACCGTGCCGCGCCTGTTGAGTATCTATTTTTTGTACTATTTAAAGAAATGTAAGACTCGTTTTTTTTTTTATTTTTTTGAGACAAGAGCCTTGCTCTGTGTCACCGAGGCTGGAGTGCAGGTGGCGCGATCTTGGCTCACTGCAAAGCCTCCAGCCTCCCGACCATTCTCCTCGCCTCAGCCTCCCAGAAATAAGCTTGGGGACCTACAAGGCCAGTCCTCACCTACACTCCGACTTTTTGAGACAGAGCCTTGCTCTGTCACCCAGGCTGGAGTGCAGTGGCGCGATCTTGGCTCACTGCAAGCTCCAGCCTCCCACCATTCTCCTGCCTCAGCCTCCAGAATAGCTGGGACTACAGGCATCCTCCACTACACTCGACTAATTTTTTTGTATTTTTTAGTAGAGACGGGGTTTAGCCGTGTTAGCCACGATGGTATCGATCTCCTGACCTCGTGATCTGCCCGCCTCGGCCTCCCAAAGTGCTGGGATTACAAGCGTGAGCCACCGCGCCCGGCCAAAAATGTAAACATCCTTTCTTGAGTGTCTGATATGCACCACCCACGTCACACAATTTCTTTTCCTTTATTTAGACTTTCCACTCTGAGGAATCCTTGTTTCTCAGGTAGGAAAACTGACAATAGGGAGATAAAGTGAATTTCCTAAGACCCCTCAGTTTGTAGAGGTCAAATAGGTCAAACTTCAAATTCTCTGGTCCTTTTACAATACCACACAGCTACTCAATGTTGTTTTAGAAAAATCTATCATTTGGGGCTGGGCCTGGTGGCTCACGCCTGTAATCCCAGAACTTTGGGAGGCCAAGGCGGGTGGATCATGAGGTCAGGAGATGAGACCACCCTAGCTAACAAGGTGAAATCCCATCTCTACTAAAAAATACCAAAAAATTAGCCAGGTGTGGTGGCGGACGCCTGTAGTCCCAGCTACTCGGGAGGCTGAGGCAGTAGAATGGCGTGAACCCGGGAGGCGGAGCTTGCAGTGAGCCGCGATTGCGTCACTGCACTCCAACCTGGGTGACAGAACGAGACTCCATCTAAAAAAAAAGAAAGAAAAAAAAGAAAAAGAAAAATCTATCATTTTGGAGGCAACATATTCATATAATTGCTAAGTTGCTGCTGCTGTTGTTTGAGTAGGGACCTTGCTGTGTCATGTGTGGTTCATTCAGGCAAGGGTCACAGACAGTGCCATGCACCACCAAGCCGTGAGGATTGACTTTCAGACAGACAATTGTCCTCACCACCACAACCCCCAGACTGGTCAGGGTCTCTGCTTTTTGAACTCAGTGATATAATCTTCACATTCTCTGCACCTCAGAATTGTCTGTTCATCTGTTTTTTTCCCCTTTGCAAGGCTCGCATCTTTGAGGGCAGATGTTTTCTCTCTCCCCTTAGTCCTCAGCCAGTACTTGGCATTTAGTAGGCATTCAATAAGTATATGATGAACACATGAGCTAATCAAGTAATTGATTAGTTAATGGAAATAACATTACTGGATTTGTTCCTAACGACAAAGCAAAGTATCTTGATTTCCTGCCCCAGATCCGCACTCAAGTTCACCTGTGTCAGCCTCTGTGGAGCCTTCATTTTATTACTAAATCAGTGGCCAAACCATCCTGTATTTAAAGCTCTCAGAGAAAATAACACACAGGGCCTTTCTGATTCTAGAGTGTTTTACAACGATTTACATAGGAACTAGAGCTCAGGAGAACTTCTAAAAATAAGAAGCTAACCCTTTTCTCTCTAGCTTTCAAGGAAACCTCAGGTGCATGCCAGCCCACCCCAACAGCCTTTCCCACTGGGCTGGTTTTTGTCTTCACCCAAGGGCCTACCCAGCTATCTTTTGTGGGGTCAGGCCAATGAGAGCTGCGTGGAAATTCTGCACACAGCGTTTCACACCTACAGATGTGTAGGGTCAGGAGTGGTTGATGTCACTAATGCCGTGGGAAACTAGTCAGGAAAACACACAGAAAAACTGATCCTAGAGAGACAAAAGGGAGGAGAGACAGGGAAAAGGAAGTACAGAAAGGGAAGAGGAGACAAAGAAAAGGGGAGAAGGCTGGGAGCAAGGAGAAAGGCCTTGCACACTCAAGGGAAACCCCAGAGATCACCTAGAGAGCAGTTCCAGCATCGCAGGTGATGAGCATTCCTAGAAAGCTTTAGCCCAAGCTTTAGTTTCAGTACAAATTTGGTATTATTAGGATCTCAGATTAAAAGGGAATGTAGAGCAATATGTTCAGGAGATTCGCCTGGAAAGGGTTAAACAATGTAAATTCTGGGGCCCCACCTTAATAGATCTTGATTCTGTATAGTTCCGGGTCTGGGAGTAGATATATCACTAACTCTCTCCCACAGTGATTGGTGCAGTAATCAGATTTCAGAACCTCCATCTTAGCATTTGCCCAGCCTCCTGAGAACGCAGGAATTTCAGCTCTGCAGACAGACACGGCTTGCACATTTCCAGGGGCAGGAAGCTTATGACTTTTGAGATAGCTCTGGTTGTTAGAAAATTCCATCTTCTTAAAAAGTGCTCCCATCTGCCTCAGGAACTGAGTTCTACCAATTTAGAAAAAAACAAAAAAAAAAGAAGGATAAGGCAAGAAATTGAAGACATGTATCCCCTGGGCCCCAAAAGGCGAAACATAATTAGAAATTCAAGCTGCTGTTGCCACTACTCTAACATTCTTTCTTCCCTCTGTCAAAATGCCCAACACCTAATTACTATGAAATCTAGCGTATCCACTAGGACAAGTTCTGTGTTCATATTTCTGATAACGTGCATAGCCTCCCCAAGTGAGCTGAAAATCACTTCACCCAGGAAGCCCCCTTTACTGGACCAGTTGAGAAAGTAGGAAACGGTTGCTATTTCTTGCCCAATTCTTGCCAGAAAAAGACTCTATTTGACGTCCTAAGGGGAGACAAAGAGGACCAATGCCCGCAAAGCCTACAAGTGCTATAGAAACTTTTTCCCAACCAGCAAACCAGATAGAGGCTCCTGCCTCTGAATTAACAGTTTCCTCAAAAGCTGGCTGGCAGGCAGGCCACTCTTTGAAACCTTGGGAAATCTTTGCATTCACTAATTTGACAGCCCCAAGGGTGTCTGTTTTTTCTTTTTTGAGACGGAGTCTTGCTCTGTCGCCTAGGCTGGAGTGCAGTGGCACAATCTCGGCTCACTGCAAGCTCCGCCTCCCAGGTTCACGCCATTCTCCTGCCTCAGCCTCCTGAGTAGCTGGGACTATAGGCCCCCGCCACCAGGCCCGGCTAATTTTTTGTATTTTTAGTAGAGACAGGGTTTCACTGTGATAGCCAGGATGGTCTCGATCTCCTGACCTCATGATCCACCTGCCTCAGCCTCCAAAAGTGCTGGGATTACAGGCGTGAGTCACCGCGCCTGGCCTCAAGGGTAATTGTTTTTAACAAGACTTAGTAATCTTTCCAAAGACATCTCTGGGCTCCTTGAGAAGGGACTCCCCAAAACTCCTTGCCACCCACAGACCTGACTGTCCATTATTAATCTACAGCTAGGTTGGCCAGGAGCCCCCACACACTTCCTTGATTTGGGGTCTGAGAGGGTTATGTCAATCAAGACAGGAGGTCGGGGAGGCACTGAGGGAAGGACTGGACTCTCAGTTCCTGCTAGGAAAAGCCATTGATGGGGAACCAGGAAGAGCTCTTGGTTGAATCTCAAAACAGAATAAATATGCAAACTGAAACAGTCCAGGGGAAGTTTGCATGACACAAAACAATCCAAAGGGGCAAAATGGATTGTTTTAGCCAACTCACCTGCACCTCCTCTGCAGGACAGAGGGAAATACTGCCTGCAACTCAGCGAACATGAAGGAGGCAGGAATGCAAGCTCTTTCCAATATTTTGTTAATCTTTTTTTTTTTTTTTTTTTTTTAGAGGAGACGGAGGTCGCCTGGGCTGGAGTGCAGTGGCACAATGTCAGCTCCCTGCAAGGTCTCCAGCAATGCAAGTGCTTTGTATCTGCCTGCAGTGGTTTCTGTGCCTTTTTTTTTTTTTTTTTGAGACGGATTCTTGCTCTATCACCAGCCTGGAGTGCAGTAGCACGATAGTGACTCACTGCAACCTACACCTCCTGGGTTCAAGTGATTCTCCTGCCTCAGCCTCCTGAGTCTGGGACGACAGGTGTGTGCCACCACACCCAGCTAATTTTTTGTATTTTTTGTATTTTTTTGTATTTTTAGTAGAGACATGGTTTCACCATGTTGGCCAGGATGGTCTCAATCTCTTGACCTCATGATCTGCCCGCCTTGGCCTCCGCCTTGGATTAAAGGCATGAGCCACCGCGCCCAGCTATTTTGTTAATCTTAGGAGTGATTCTGGATCCTCTGCTACTTGGAAACTCCCCCAAGGGAAGCTGGTGCAGAGGTAGCCCTGGGTCTGGAGGAAGAGATGAAGAGAGTGTGACTGCCCCTGGCAATCACCAGCAGATGGCCAAACGGAGCACTGGGAGTAAACTTCACTGTGACACAGAAAATTCAAAAGCAAGCACCTAAAATGCCACTGGGAACCTGTCAAGAAATCAAATCAAGCACAGGAGGAACAAGAGATCCAGAGAACCCACACCTATGGAGCACCTGTTGTATATCAGGCCCAGATTTAATTTTCACCATCTATGGGAGGGAATATTTTCCCCATTTTACAGATGAGGAAGAGGAGGATAAAGGACTGTGCCTAAGGTTTTGAGGCTAGTAAGGGATTGGAGATTAAGAATACACATCTGTCTAAATCCAGACAGCATTCACTACAGCAGCCCACCATCCTGCCCCAAGAGAAATAATATTTTCTGTAGAATATATGAAATAAGGATGATTTCTTCCCTTCCTTAATCAGCCAACCCAGCTTCCCTTCCAGCCTGTTCAGTCATGTCTGACCGTGTCACTCCTCCATCCTGCATCTTCTTGTGCAAAGACCTGGGCAGGACCACCAGGCAATCTTCCTAAATCACACCCCAACCCCAGTGCAGGGTCCCCCAATCTGGAAGAATAATCTTTGTTAATATACCATTGTTAACCAGTAATTGCTTTCCTTTGGGCTTCACCTTTTCTAAAGCCATGGGCGATTTCTCCCAGCTTCTACCTTCTTGAATCTTTTGTTTAAGTCTTTAAAAGACACGACTTTCCCGAGAAATAATTAAGGCTTTCAAGCCCCACACTTTTAACAAATATATTTTGACCTCGTTTCATCCCTTTTGGAAGGGCGAAGTTTTCTGGCACCTTAAAGGGATTTTCATTCAATTATCCTCCAGAATCCTCTTTTCTTCTTTCTTTCAGCACAAAAAGCTTCCCATTTGCCTCCAAAGGTGAAATTAGGTTCTTGCCCATTCAGCATCAGGCAGGGTTTTAAATTGGATGAAATAATAATGCTTCTTTGAATTTCAGGGCAGCCTTCACAGAAAGAAATTAGAATCTGCCCTAAGAAGCAGCTCTATCATTCACTGCCTTTCCATTCTCCCTGTGCTCTGGGGGTAGGGGCAATGGCAGAGCTGGAATTCCAGTTCAAGCAAACACACAAAGACCCTAAGAAAAGTTTATTCAGGAGTTAGGATAAAGCCAGGGAGGCCATTTCTTGTCCCTCAGTGCTTCTGGACCGTGAGATGGTGCTGATCTTTCTACTTCAACCACCTTACCCTCAGCCCCTCTTCATGCCTGGAGGAAAACCTTCCCCAATAAGGACTGAAGAGTTATAAGCATTTTCTTTTTAATAAAACAGAATGAATTCAAAAGGAATGATGATTGAACTCAAATAGAATGCCCCAGAAAAAAATAAGAGAAAATGATTGGGATTAGCTTGACCTGAGCATTTATCCTTTAACTTGAAACAGACAACTTCTCCCGAATATGGAAACTGAAGATAAACAGTCTCATTATATTTCTCATAAAGCATCCAGTTGCCTCCCCACCACCCAGGACCACCCAATAAACACACACACACATCCTAGACATCCAACAGAACCATCAGCAGGAGAAACCTGACCAACTGGCATCCATTAATAACTAGAGGTATTTTACATAATTCAAATGAAAAGAATATCATCCATATGCTTCCCACAGCATCCCAGAAATACCCACCATTCACTGTCAGGCTGTAATGACTTCATTCCTAAAGAAAAGTAAGGAGTAGGTGACAGTGACAGCATGTCTTGGGGATAATCTGCCAAATTTATTTCAAAATTGAGGGATTCACTTGTCTCATTAATCCAGCCTCACCTGACAGAGGAAAGGGTCTAAATGACTTGCATAGAAAAGAGCCTGTCTGATTGAAGCCTTGAAACCTGGGAGAGGAGGGGCAAAAGAGGAAGAAGAGAAGGCACAAAGGAATCCCTATGTGGGGTCAGGGGACAAGGGGAGAACCAAAAAGCAGGAGCCAGCCAACAAGGACAGCTTTCTCGTGCTTCTCAATTCTGCCTAAAGCCAGAAGGAGCGGTTTTTTGTTTGTTTGTTTGTTTGTTTGTTTTGAGAAAGAGTCTCACTCTGTCACCCAGGCTAGAGTGCAATGGTGCAATCCTGGCTCACTGCAACCTCCACCTCCCAGATTCAAGCAGTTCTTCTGCCTCAGCCTCCCGAGTAGCTGGCACTACAGGTGCCCACCACCATGTCTGGCTAATTGTTTTTGTATTTTTAGTAGAGATGGGGTTTCACCATATTAGCCAGGATGGTCTCGATCTCCTGACCTCATGATCTGCCCACCTCGGCCTCCCAAAATGCTGGGACTACAGGCACAAGCCACCACGCCCAGCCCGGACTATGCAATATCTTATTATTGAGGAAGCTGGGTGGAGGGTACATGGAGCTTCTCTGCACTATTTTTGCAACTTTTATGTATATCCAAATATATTTCAAAAGAAAATGTTTAAGTAACTAACGATAAAAACACTTGGGTAAGGGATGTGTGGAATTTATTTGAATAAACTCTAAATAAATATAGGAAGCAGGTGGCCAAGTGTGGTGGCTCATGCCTATAATCCCAGTGCTTTGGGAGGCCGAGGTGGGTGGATCACCTGAGATCAGGAGTTTAAGACCAGCCTGGCCAACACGGTGAAACCCCATCTCTACTAAAACTACAAAAATTAGCCAGGCGTAGTAGCACACACCTGTAACCCCAGCTACTTGAGAGGCTGAGGCAGGGAGAATTGCTTGAACCCGGGAGGTGGAGACTGTAGTGAGCTGAGATAGTACCACTGCACTCCAGCCTGGGTGACAGAGTGAGACTCTATCTCAAAACAAACAAAAATATACAGGAGGCAGCACTTTGAGGTGGAAATATTTGGTTAGCCAGGAGAACAGGTTATGTTCCTCAATGTGTTACTAACACTGCATAGACTTGGGCTCATTTTCTAACTTCTCTATAATTTAGTTTTCTCATCCACAAAATGGGAAAGAGGATCATACTATGGGATTTTCTAACATTTCTCGTTCTCAGAGTAAAAACCTGGGTTTCAAGAACCAAATGTTTTCAATTAGCAAGCCTGCTGCATCTGGAAAAAAAAATCTCCTGAAACAACTTCCTTGTAAATTTCTGTTAGTTTCTGA